TCCATTAACAGTACTACTGAAAGAACACTTCATTTACCGTAACTAATGGTCACCTGACCAACCCTCTGGAGAATAAGTACCGGTCACTCTTAGAGTCACTTTGTTCTAACATCAGTCGTCTGCTTTTATTTTGTCCCGTTTCAGTCACCACACCTTAACGACTGGTCTGTGACAACACTGTCTGTTGTAGAACTGGTCTGTGGACCGTTAATGGTCGGCAACACTTTGAATGTCATTATTCAAAATTATTCTAATCTCTGACTCACTCCTGGAGCTAAACTTTCCATTCATCCACCTCCAGCAGCCAGACAGAAACAGGTCGACGCTCGTTTGAACCTGATATGAACCCTCTGACAGAGAACCCTCGCCGACACCCGCTCCACTGCTCCACTGCTCCACTGCTTCATTCCCAGTAGATTAAACTGGGATTTGGATTTAACTCCTTAAATCCCAGCTGTGTGTGTGTGTAATTTTCACACAGGTGAGTGGAGTTAGACAGTTGGAGATGTAAACGGAGCTGATTCAGTGTTTTTAGCCACAGAGCAAAAATACTTCCAAAATACCACACATGTTTAAAATGCCATCACAGAATACTTCACAGTACTTCAAAATCCATTAGTTCATCCCCCTCCACCAAGTACGAGGTCGGGGTCAAACCCTGAACAGTTCTCAAGTCCATCACGGGGTCACATACAAGAACCCCCCCTCCGCCCCTCCACACACACACAGGGAGAACAGCGGTCCACGCGGACAGAGATACAGATCCTGACACAAACCATAATCCACGGCTCTCCACTCTCAAACTTCTCCTTCTGCAGAGTTCAACGTGACGGACCAGTGACCATGTGTGTTGCAGACCAGTGACCATGTGTGTTGCAGACCAGTGACCATGTGTGTTGTTGTGTGCTGCTCCTATAGTTAACTGTGGAGCTGCAGGAAGCAGGATGTTTTGTTGGAGGCTCCACCGACGGCCACAGCCTCAAGGTTAATAACCCCCCAGTCAGGACAGGGAGGGACGCCGCCGCTTCCACTAAACACACACATGCTTGCAGCAACCACACACACGCACACACACACAGCTGGGTCGTAAAAGAAAAAAAAGGAAGTGAGGCGAGCGACTAAACATCTGCCAGCGGCGTGCGTTTACAGCGGAGGAGGCTGCTGATTGGTTGACCTCATTTCACTGACGGAGTGACAAAGTGAAAGTGGCAACAGCTGATTCGACAAAGATGTGGGTTCTGAACTTCAGCTCTGATCGGGGATTTTTTTTTTAAACTGCGCTAAATGAAAAGAGCGACACAATCATTTATCTAAGTGTTAGCTGTAGCTTTTCAGCTACATTTTACAGACTCACCTCAGTTGAAGGTGTGGTCAGGTCAACTTTTATTTACTTTTGACCAACTGTAAAAGTAAACTTTTTCCTACAGCTATCTTCAGGCTCAATGTTGGTGTGGCGGCTAAACTTAACACAAGAAGATTTTTAAAGCAAAACGTTTTAACACGTCTAACAATTTAAGTCACTAAATGTATTTGGAGTTTTTGAAATAATAAAGTCTCAGCAGTGACTTTTAATTCAACATCATCAGAAAAAAATAAGACAAAACATTCAGACGAAGCTCAATATAATTCAAGCACTTCCAAGGACCTCCAGGAGCCTCACACACCGACACAGAGACAGACAAAAGAACATGGAGGACAGTGACAGCAGCATCAGGCTCAGTGTGGAATCACTGAGCTACAGTGACCAGGGGAGGGGGGAGGTGGGGGGGGTGGGTGAGGCAGGGGGAACTGCAGCGTTGATGGATCTCCTTCATTAAAGTCTTTGTGTCAGAAGTAAAAGGTTTGATCCAGGATTCACTCTGATCCACAGGAGAGGCTTCCAGAACCCCACAGAACCAGAGGGAACTCACATGAGCAGAGATTTGTGGTTCCCTCAGGACTGGGCTCCATTGTCCCAGGGTGAGGTTTTCTGCCTCCCTCCACAACAATTAAAATAAAATAAACGACTATAATTAGAAGCTGCAGTGTCAGTTCAACACACACAGGCGCCGCCCCGGTGGTGATTGTGTCTAATGATTCGTTTTATTATTCATACCATCCTCTCTTCTGCATCTGTGCCCCCCATTAAAACCCCCCTAAGAACCCATTTTCCGCATGGGCTTCATCAATCAGCCTGATGGGGCAGCACTGGACTGGACCAGATCTGAACCACAGTCCCTGAGGAGGTTCTGGTCCAATGGCTCCTCAAACACTCGACTAGGACTGTGTCAGGACGGGGGAGGAAATCACTCTACCAGATCACTGAGGGGGTGGGGTGGGGGGTGGGGGTTACTGGTTAACCTGAGATGTGTTAAATGAAGAGGAAAGAGCAAAAAGCCAGGGCTACTGGGAGAGAGAGAGAGGGACGAACGACTCTCCTACTGCAGTAAAACACAGGAAGTATGACAATGAATATTTGAAGTTGGAGGTGTTTTCCTGCTGTAAGGCGACCCCAGCGGACACTCCTTCACCGCGCTGCTCTTCAGGCATTTTTTACATTAAGGACAAAAATCTCTGACCTAAATCTGAGTACTACTTCATCAAGTACTGCAGTAGTCCATGATGTACTCCAGTACTTCCAAAAACTATAGAGGGGCAGTCAGCCCTGAGACCAACAGTAGAACTGGTTTTGGACCAGGACTAGTGGAGCAGTGTGTACACCCCAGGATTGAACCCTCAAAGACACACAGTTACTGGTGAAAAGTCTTCAGAAGGACACCTTTCTTAAACTGTGTAAACATTTTCCTCGTAATAAGTCCTTGTGTGGACATCCTACACATAATAACATAATATCATTCAGAAAACTGTCTCAACAATAACACAAACCAACAGCCCCCCCCCCACCCCCCCAACACTGTACTCTACTGCACAGGTGTAATCCTTTACTGCTGATTCCATATTATTAACAGTCTGCCTTAATTAGGGGGGGGGTAAATGGGGAGGGGGAGGGTGGGGGGAGGGAGTCCGTTCAGGAAGAAGGACCTGAGCTGTGGTGTAGATTATTCTGAGTGATCTGAGAAGGATGCCTAAGACTTTTGCTCATTACAGCTGTACATCTGTCCGTTTCTGTCAAACCCTCTGGTGCTGATCGAGTGTAATATTTTCCTTTGCAAAGGAGCTCAGACTCTGGTGCTGATCGAGTGTAATATTTTCTCAGATGGTAACCTTCAGAGTATTTTCTTTTTCTCTCTCTTCCTGTTGTTTTCAACAGTACTGTTCTTCTGAAGAAAAGAAAATGGTTGTTGGAATGATGTTTTATAAACATGACCTGATTTCAACACAGTGACATCAACAACAAGGAAGGAGTGTTTGTCTCCGTTTTAACAGCTGCAATAAAAGCCAGGATCACAGTCCTACACAGTACGACGGTAGACAGTACGACTGTATACGTACAGTACAACTGTGTACAGTCTGTGTACAGACCTTCATGACAAGGTGTCAAATACATGGCAGATACAGAAGAAAATCATGAACTCTTTATTCTTATGAATTATTTTAGCTAACTAGTGTTTAATTAATGTTCATAAACTCTGATTGGTTTAGTTTGGGTTCTTTTTTCAAAGTCATTCATAGAAACCCTGAAAAAACAGATTTTTCTGGGAATCAAATTTGGAATAGTTTAAGTTTTTTGGTTTTGACAAATATCTGACTGAAATAATAAAAACAGCTGATTCATCATAGAATAAAAGGACTCAGTGACACTGACACTGTCTGGAGCCTCCACCAATCACTGAGGAAAATTCAATTCAATCTGAATGATTATTTTACTACAGTGGGTAAATGGTCAAATTTGTACAGTTGTAAAATAAATTAAAATTAACAGTTATAGTTCGTATAACGTATTTTGACAAGAAGAAGAAGACTGAAGAATTGGTCCTAAACAACACAACAAATCACTGAAGGATCGGTTCCGAACAACACATTTATTTAACATTAACTTCCTTTTCAAAGTTTTAGTACAAAGTCAAATAAATGTCATGTAAACTTTCAAAAACCACAGCTGTGTGAACAGCCAATGAAAGTTAGCCCTCTCTCCTACTTTTTATGCTGTACTGCTCACAGGCTCAGCTTTCACTGTTCTTTTCAGTCACTGCTTCTTCTTTCAGCCCACACACTGTTACCTGCCCTCATTACTTCATGTGGTCACATTCTGATGACACTGTGATATTGTCTTCCTGTTGGTTCCATCAGCAGGGAACGGGTGAGGAACAGAAGAGGAGGGGGTGAGGATGAGGCTGGAGCATCTCTGCAGCAGTGGATTTATTATAGAACGTTAGCAGCAGTGTGTTAGACCGACATGTTGTCAGGAGGTCGGTCCATTTAGAATGGAATCTCATCCCATTATTATAACTTATATAACTATATTAATACTATTAATATTATTTTAGTTGTTTTGGTTTATTTTGGTTGGTAAGTCGTAGGATGCAGGTCTGTTCTAACGGAGAACGTCCTCGGTCAACTGTTTCAATGCTTTAAGAAAGTACTGAAAAACTTTTCAGGTGCACATGTCAAATACATCATAACCTAACTGCAGTACCTGAACCCACCCTCTAGGAGTTGCAGATGCATATTGAAGATGTCTGCTTTATCAAAAACATTTTACCAGACCTCCATGAGGTCTGACAACAAGAGTCTCAAACACCTGGCCCACAGGCCACTGACAGCCCACAACCCACTCATATCCAGCCCATGACTAAATATGAATTTAAATGTGGTGGCTGGAGTGACTCCCCCGAACCCCCATCCCCCCACATCAAACTAACATGAAAATGTCTTATGGATGAACAGAACCAGGAAAATAATCTTTCAAAATAGTTTGAAATCGTGGGTCACATGGGTCAGTATGGGTTCCTCACAACAAAGAACAAAGCTAAATGGCAAGACTCTGACCTATAACATGGCTGTTGCCCAGTACATGGGCTCACAGGCTCATTGTCAATACAGGGACTTGAACCACTCACCCCATCTTTGTCCTCTGGTCCACTCTCCTGCTGGTCCATGCTGCAGAGCTTCCTCTTGTTGGTGTTCTCTGACCTCCTCATTTGCTCTTCAACGACCAATTGTGGATGTGGGCTCTCCGGTATGAATGTGTCTTTAGGCTCTGTGTGTCCACTGGGCGGGCTTCGACCTCATTGACATCCCGCTCCCAAATATGATTAAAAAGTCATGTTCCTCAGACGCAGTGTGTGAAGTCACTGCTGTGGGGTTCTGTTCAGACAGTTCATGTTGGACTGAACCTGGACCTGCTGTTGTTCACATATGTGTCTTGTCAGTTTTAATCGCAGTGTTGTTCACATATGTGTCTTGTCAGTTATAATCGCAGCACTTCCAAAACCAACACTACCTCCTCATAGACAATGAAACACGGTTCTTTGTATTCTCTCCCAGCCTCAGTTAATGAGCCACGGGTCAGAGGTGCGAGCTTTTGTCCGAGTACCGCTGGATAAAAAGTTAGTTTTTCTAGTTCCACAGCTGCAGTTAGCTCCAGAAGCTAAGCTTCCTGCGCGTCTACCTGCCCGCGAACACCGTGATAGCATGACAGGTCCGCCGTCACAGGGAGCGGGTTCCTCCGCTGCGCTACAGCCTGAGTCCACAGCCTTTTCTGCCTCTCTGTGAGTCCCTCAGTCTACGTTTCCTTCTTCTCCCATCACCGGACAATGGTTCCGCTCCGTGTTTGTGTGTTGAACCGTGTCAGAGAACAGAAGGGAACAGCGGGGTTCAGACCAGCTTCCTGACTCTTCTGACTCGGTCATTAAGATGTCAAGTTAGTCTCTGCATGAGAAAAACACTTCCGGTTAAAACTTTCACAACAAAAGGAAATTATGTTTATACAGCAGTAACACGATCTACGTGGCCCGTAACTTTTATTTTATATAGCTATACATACCATATTAATGTTTGTCGGAAAATTATGTAAAAAAAAAAAGAATAAATATCTGTATCTTAATAAATTCGTTCAAATTATTAACGTATGTTTTAACTAACCCCTACAAGGCTCACTGTTTTCTACCATATGTTCTCGGGGTAAATATTATTTTCTGTACAGACTACATTTAGAAACACCTCACATGTCTGTCCAACATTACATTTGTAGCATTGGGAGTCTATCTAACGATGTATTCAGCTCTGAACGTTGAATGAGATATCAGACATTTTATTTTGAAACCTTTTCTCCTGTAGCTTCAGCTTCACCTACTGACACAGTTCGGTGTAAAATTACATACACTCACAGGATACTGTGTCAAAATAAAAAATAAAAATAAAAACGAGGGCAACATTGGATGAAATATTGACAGTCAGATTTTTCTGCAACCTCTTCATCTCCAACATCCTCAGTCCAACGTCTCCATCATATCTCCTCAGCTTCATCATCATCTCTGACTTGTTCATTCACAATCCTCTATATCGTCGCACAAACCAAAGACTCTTCGAATCTCTGCATCCGGGGCTTTGACTGACAGCAGACAAAAGAAAGAAGAACCGCTTTGCCCGTACTCTGCTGCCACCTGCTGGATAATATTGTTGACCAACGTGTTGACACGTGATAAAGTAATATGTTACATTTAAGTCATGTTTATATTATATTGATCGATTGATAAATTGATCTATAGGCGCTAAATCTATTTCATAATCCCAGCAGGCACTGGGGGAAGGCGGGGAGACCCCTGCTGTTCTCCTGTCCATTACAGGTGTAACCCCAATTTGAATCAGCGATGACAAATAAAACTCCAAACAGAGATGGATTGATTTTTCAATTTTTATTGAAAATGTTGGGTTTTTTTTCACCTTTTTAAATCTAAAACATTGCTTTAATAAAAGAGAAACTGCCAAAAATACACCTGATCTTTACATCTAAACACATTTATGTTTCAGCAGCAACAGAAAAAAGAAATTTCATTAAAACACACACACACACACACTGTTGATATTTACACAACAGCAGCAACTCCTTTAGCCATAAATATAATAATAAAGACAGCAAGTTAAAGCAAATATATTTTCTGAACGTCGGACACTTTGGTTGATGGTATTGCTCAGCAGACAAAATCTACAGTGTTTTTATTGGTTCCTGTTCCTGTTGTACAGACCACAGCCGTGATTGTCTTCATCACCTGCGTCAGTGTTGACTGATGAATACACTGAACACAGATTTATATAAAAGTCATTCTGTTGGATTCAGCTGAGCCTCGGAGCACCATCCAGGACTAGAACAACAACACACACACCTGCCTATTGCACTGGAACCCTTCAACAGTTGCATATTTTCAGTAGAATAAAAAGACACCAGAGTTCATGCACGAGATTAAATAAAGAAAGACGACATAGAAATCAAGCATGGGACAAAAAAACTGGATGAAAAAAACAACAACAGTGACAGCATTTGGTGGAAGTTTGTAAGAATAAAATTATTAAAATGTCAATTTAAGGTTTTTTGTTTAAATCAATGAATGAATAGTTTTAAATAGCTGCACAGCTTTAGAGAGGGGGGTTATCAAAAGAATAGAAACATACAATAAAACTATTCCATTTTCCATCCCTCTTTTGGACCACGGATTTGAGAATAACTGATTGTTTCCTGTTTTACAGATTGTCCAGCAGGTCAGTGAAGGCATCACACGTACTGCTAAGCAGCATTTTTTTTAAAACTAGGTTGGACCCTTGAGAAAAAATACAGCAAATTTACTGTACAGGAGTGCAGGGGTCTTCAAGGTTTTTGAGTCCAAAGACCCCAAGACTGATGAAGAGACAGAGCAGAAACCCCCTACCACATATATATATATACACACATATATATGTATAAATATACACACACATATATACGGTATATATGGTTCAAATAATACAAATCAAATATTTTTTAAAAATCTGACCCCTTTTCAGTCCCTTGTGGACCCTCTTTGGGTGGCAGACCCCGTATTGAAGACCCCTGCATTAGACTAAAACCTCTTGTCAGTGTTTTATTTTTTACTGTCTGTCACTGGAAGTTTTGTTTCCTCGGTAAATTCTCAGTTTTCAGTAGTTTCTGTTGACGGACGGAGATCCTGGACTGACACAGGAGCTGCTGCACCATCACACAGTATGGCTTCTGTTCCAACAACACCTCAAACACATGCAACTTCAGCAGTACTACACACACACACACACACTCACTACCAAGGCTAAAAACACACACTTCAGCCCCAGCTGAGGAGATGGAAGCACTTTTAAATTTTTGGTTTCTGCTCCCTGTTCCTGCTGCTGTCACCAAACCCTAATGGAAGACAAGGATGGAGGACGAAGGTGGAGGACGAAGGTGGAGTCCAGCAATTTCAGTTTGATCTAATGGAGATGAATTCTCTGCTGGTGCACTACAGAACGGCTGCCTGCAGGGGGCGTTGGATGTGGACAGGTGCCTGGACAGCAGAGGAGGGAGAGGGGAGAAGGAAGGTGGAGGTCTGAGGCTCCTTGGTCATGACACTCCGACCAGGAGAGAAGCTAAGCCGACAGAAGCCTCCGGTGTTTGAACCTGAAAGACATCAAAAAGGCATTATGGGAAATCTTTTAATCTTTTCTTATTAGTCGTTAAAAACCAGGAAGTTGTTAAGATGTCACTCAAATCAAAAACCACAGACAAAATTGTTCTTCAATAAGGTTAAAGTGTCAAAGGTCAGTGAATGTGACCTCAGTCCAGGTTTTTATTTCACTACGACGTCATTAAAAAAGTAACAGATGATGCAGCAGGAGAACAAAGTCAGCCAATGGTACAGAGACAGGATGTTCTACAACCAACACAGAACAGGAGGAGGACGACTGTACCTTTAACAGGCCACAGGGGTGAGGAAGAGGAGGAGGAGGATGGAGAGGAAAAAAAAGAGGAAGAGGAGGGAGAAGGGGTGGAGAAGGAGGCTTGATGGAGGGAGGAAATTCTACACTTGTTCTCCTGAGGAGACTCAGCAGGAGGAGAGAGGAGGAGAAGAAGAAAACAAAATGTTTTTCACTTTCAGTTCCTCAGTCGTGACCAGATTTTCAAAATAAAAGCTGTAATGAACTCACCTGCAGGTTTGTCTTGGCTTTTCTCAAGACGTCCCGTGTTCGTGACACTGTCAACACACACACACACACATTAAAAATCAATAATAATAATAACAATGTCATAGTGACGTCCAACTCTCCAGTAAAAATACAGACATCGATGCAAGAGACTTGAATTTGGAGATGTAACATTAGAGAATTTTATGTTGGTGCTTTTATTGTCTGTTCACTGTAAAAATTAAAATTTTGGAAACAAACTGTCAAGACCTGATTTGTTAGTAAAAACAACTTAGAGTTGACAAAGACAAGTCTAAAAGGTTGTGACAGGTGTAATCCAGCAACACCGACACAGAGACGCCAGCAGGGGGAGTGATGCTGACTCACGTTGGCTGATGATGAAGTGCTCCATGCTGTCTTTGGTGCGGTTGGAGCTCTGCAGTCTCTCCACGGTGTCCTTGAGAACCTGCTCCTGCTCCGAGAGCTTCAGACGCAGAGAAGACAGCTCCTCCTTCAGACTGTCCTCCTGGAGACATATATAATGATGGAAATATGATAAAACAAAAACAACTACAGTGAACATGTTTGAGACATGGATCTGAGTCCAGTCCTGGATCCTGACCTCTTTGGTTCCCGTTCCTTTAGGCAGATTGGTGGTGCAGAACCTCCTGAGCAGAGAAGCAGCCTCCTCCAGGATCTGCCTCAGAGTTTTAGTGTCTGACAGCAGCGTCGTCACTGCAGCTGTGTCTGAGACTGAGGTACAGGAAGGCTGCAGAACAAAGAGGGCGTTCACAGATGACCAGCAGGGGGCAGTAGATAAATACAGGTACAGGAGATTGAGGAGTTTTTTTCTTTTTTTAATCTTCCTCTCGATCAGTATATCATTTTCTCACTGGGGACAGAAATGTTTTCACTTCCCCCGACCCACACCCCTGCAAACTGAAGTACTACTGAGCAAATGATAACATATATATTTTTTCATCTGTACAAACGTGTTATCATTCAAACATTACAGCAGTGGTACACTTATGTCCAGCGTGCCATATGGAAATAATCATAACCCTTTTTGGTACCTGATGGAGGCTGAGCTCCTGCAGCGTTGGGACACTCAGAACATGTAGAGCTGCCTCCATCTTACAGAGTAAAGCTCTGCCCTCCAGGATCTGCTGCTGCAGGGCGCTGAAGTCATCAACATGGCCCACAACGTGACTGAGGTCTGAGGAAGATTCAGATCCTGGCAGGAAGGAGGTGACAGGGTGGAGGAAATGGGAAGAAGAGAAAGGGAGGGGGCGATGTATTAGATCACACAAACTTCTGGTGTTTATTTCTGTTTATCAGCACTTTCAATCAATCACATGATTTACGTTTGATCTCTTCTGCCCCCCTGTGGACCGTGTGTGTAGGAGATGAAAGACCAGTCAGTCCAGTGTCTCTGACAGGTGGGGAAGGAACGTTGTCTGTGGAGGACAATCACAGTCAGTAAAAACAAAGATGTTTCCGGATCCTTCCACTGTCCTCAGAGTCACTGACCGTTGAAGAGCGCCCTCTTGGCTCCAGGTTGACCACTTAGCTGCTGCTCCAGCTGGACGTGCAGTTCCCTGGGGTCAAAGCAGAGGTTGGTGCTGTTGCCTGTATGGACGTTGTCACTGGCTCCACCCACTTGTCGACGTCCTCTGCTGTAGACCAGCAGCTCAGCCTGGAGGGTCTGGACCAGGCTGCGGCTCTCACCCAGCTGCTGCTGCAGGACGCTCACCTCATGATGGAGTCTGTCACAACACCATCAGAAAAAACAAGGGTCATAATGGTCAACTTAGGATGTTTCTAACTATATTAGCAGTAGCAGTACAAAATAACAGTGCAGTAACACAAACCGACCTGTTGATGGTGTCCTGGCTCCTCTGTTTCTCCTGTTTCAGCTGCAAAACCTCCTGGTTGTGACTTTCAGCCTCAGCTTGCAGCTTCCTGCTTTGCTCAGACCACTTCTCCAGTTCGAGCTCCGCCTTCTTTAACTTTGCACGCTCCTGGAGAGCAGTTTCCCTCAGCTGCGCCACCTCTTTATTGCCCTCTAGAGAAAAAAAGATTCAAGGACATTGACTTTTTCTTTCCTGATGAAGTCACTAAGAAGATACAGCTACAGTCTCAGGTTCTAGTGCCGCTTGGTAACCTCATGTGACCCTGTGTGACACCACGTGAACCCATGTGACCTCCAGACCGTACCTGCAGTGGTCTGCTGCAGTCTGGTGTTCTCCTCCTTTAGAAGTCTGACCTCAGAGGAGAGCTGTCCGATTGAGTCCAGGCCCTGGATGTAGATGTTGGTTGGAGCACCTGCTCAGGAGGAGAGACGAGTTAAAACAACACCAGCGTCACTGAGTGACATCATTTTTATTATTATAATTTTTATGGACCCTGAACCCTGAACCCTGAACCCTGGTACCTGTTTTATGGACCCTGAACCCTGAACCCTGGTACCTTTCTCAGAGGGAGTGTGAGCCAATCTGTCCTCCAGCTTCTGACGGAGGCGGTCGTTGGTCTGAATGGAGTCCTCGAGCCTCTGCCTTAGACCCCTCACCTCCCTCAGATGCTCCTGCATCAGGTCTGAACCTGGACCCAGTCCACACACATGACTCAGGTACATGTCTGAAATATTTGGTCTATAATTTGAAATCATTGAAAATACACTTGAATGTGTTTCATGGCCACACGGTGGAGGAGTGGTTTCTTTACTTGCCAGCTTCCCCCCTTTGACCACATCAGGTTAACTGACTGAATGGACCATCAGTAGGTTCTGTTGGAAGAAGCACCGACCGCCCTCCCAACATGTGGACCCTACAGTCAAGTCAAGGTCAAGGTGAAGGTCATCCTACCTGGGGGGTTAACTGCTGACTGGTATCCTGATGATCCTGACGACAGGTTGGCTCCTAGTCTCCCTGACCGTGGATCATAAGCCATATCCCAGAGTGCACTGCTCTCCAGCAGACTTGAACCTGCCTTCATGGCCAAGGTGCCGTCCAGGCTGCTGGTGAAGGGAGAAGGCTGGTATCCATGGAAGGAGAGGGGCAGGAAGGCTGAGGGGTTGGACTGCTGGGGGGTGAAGGGGAAACCACGAAGAGGTTTGGACTGGGGGGTGGAAAACCCTGTGGAGGAGGGAAGAAATGAAGAAATAAAACAAGTTCAAATACAAACATTCTACACGGTCACATGATCACATGAAGAATTAGTTGAAGAAAAACATATTCCAGGAAAAATGTAGTGACATTAGCGTTCAAGCAGTTTCCACAAAGTACAGTAACATGTACTACGTGTGTACTACGTAGCAGGGAAGTGAACTACTTGTCATTGTGACACAGCACACAACCAAATGTGTCCTCTGCTTTTAGCGCCCGGGGAGCAGTGTGTGGTGGACTAGACTAGTGGACTCAAACCTGAAACCTTCCAGACCCAGGTCCGCTTCCTTAACCACCAAGCCACCACTGCCCCTGTAGTAGCGTTAGGTATTACGAGGAGTATTTCCTCTTTGCTACAACACAGTGTTAGGGAACTAACAGGACAGATATATACTACACACACACACACACACACACACACATGCTTGTAAAACGCACTGTCACTGTTTCCCAGCTGCTTCTGTAACATCTGCAGCTCCTGATGAACGTCGGCCAATGACCAGCCTGCTCCACCACCACCACTGTTACCATAGTTACCAGCACCACTGCTGCACTGGTGACGGGATCTCTGGGTAGTGGGGTGAGGGTGGAAGGACAAGGGTGCAGTTGGGGCAGAGGAGGACGGGGGCGGGTACGAGGGAGCAGCAGTGAAGACTGAAGCTGGAGCTGAAGGTTTGGGAGAAGGTGAAGGAACGAAGACAAGTTTGATGGAAAACAGAGGAAAGAATGAAAGGAAAAAAGGAAGCACAAGAAGTCCGTCCTCTATTTACTCCCTACCTGTCATACTCTGTATGTCCACGGGTCGGTGTGGTGAGCTGGTGCAATGCATGCTGGGACAGCTGAGGCAGGACTGAGTCCTGTGGGACGAGGCGATGGATGGAGGAACAGATGGATGATGGGATACGGTGCTGCTGTGAGAGTGGCAGTCTGGAAGTGAACAGTGTTGGATGTATGATGGATGATGGATGAGTGGATGATGGATGATGGATGATGGATGAGTGGATGATGGATGATGGATGATGGATGAGTGGATGATGGATGATGGATGATGGATGAGTGGATGGATGGATGATGGATGAGTGGATGGATGGTTGGTGACCTTCTCACCTGTGCTGACCCGACTAGACCCAGGCGTGTCCTCTGGACTGATCTCGTTGGCAGCATCCAGCTCGGAGCAAAGCTCCAGGTCCTCGTTTGTGGATCCACGCTCATCAGAGATGTAGGAGATGCGATCTGATTGGTCGGTGGCATCAGAGAGGGCGTGGCTGCTGCAGGGCGTGTCAGAACGATGAGAAGAACCTTGATCATGAAGATGGTGGTGTTGCTGGTTTAACTTGGCTCGGAGAGACTCGATGACTTTGTCCTTCTGCTGCAGCTCTTTACTGAGTCTGAACACATGAAAACACACACACACACACACTGTCATGAATACCAGTGCTACTACTATATTATTACTGTATTACGTGTGTATTCAAACTTGTGGTTCACAGAATCAACAATGAAATATGAGTGCGGTCAGAGGAGGTCAGCGTTTACATCACGAACAGTTGGGTCTGACCCGTCTTGACGTCCTGACGAGGTTCCACGTGTCAGTGTCCCCTGACACTGGGCTGTCCAGTTCAGTGCTGCTCACGTGTGTGTGTCTTAAGGAAAGCCTCTTACTGACTGATAAACACACACCTGGTACTGGATGATGCAGCACAGGTGAAACTGTTGAGTCACCAGACCAGAAATAAACTGTTCTCAGTCAAAGGTCGTCAGCACCTGGACACTGAGACACGGCTGTAGGTCAGCAGCAAAAGTCTTCGGCATTTTTATTAGGTTATTGTTCTCACACATCAGGTCTGAGAGATGATTTAACTGCACAGATTCATCTGAGGAGAGTCACATGGTACCGTGACCTCTGTGACCTACAAACACACTCGACACAGCTGATCAGACCAAAGTAATCAGATTTGGCTCACAACAAAGAATAAAACATCAGAAATGCGTTAACTTTACTTTAGTGAAATAAGAAACAGGGACCAGTTTGTCTCGAAAGACATAGACTTCGATATTAAACTTTAGGAAACAAACTGGCCACATAACACCTGTCCAAATGCCAGAGTTGGCCAGACACTGGACCATCTACACATGATGACATGATGTGGTCCCATCAGGAGTTTTCACAGGACTGGATTTATGTTCCCAGTAAAACTGGTTCCTGAAAAACTGAAGTCACTGAAGATCGTTGATCATCTGTGAGCGAGGAGCAGTGGGCTGCATTCTACTGAGGCCTAGAAGTTAGATCAACACAGCACTGCCAGGATTCAAACCAACAACTCTTCACCACCAGAAGTGCAGCCCTGTAACCACTAGACTGCGCTGCTGTAACCCCTCCAGGTGCCGGCTGGTTACAGACCAGCTGTACTGTACCAGATCTTGTCCACAGGCTGTTATCACCCACTGACCACAGAGGTTTTCACCTGAAGAGGAAGAATCAGACTTCCTGTTCAGACTCCTACTGTCAAACCTGGGCTGCAGCCCATACAGCACAGACATCTTAGTGTTTGACGTCCTCAGACCTAGGACTGTGAGTCCACTCAGGGTGGACACTCTTACTTGTCCAGCTGTTTGAGCAGCGTTCTCCTCTCCCGCTCTGCGTGTCTCTTCAGCAGCAGCAGCTCCCTCTCCTGGGCCTTCCACTCCCACAGAGAGAAGGAGAAGAGGGAGTCTCTGTAGAGCGGGCTGCTCTTGGACAGCATGACCTTCCACAGAGGAGCCATCAGGAACCATCAACCTTCAGCTCCGCATATTGATCCACCACCACTCAGAAAGTGTGTCTCCAGAGGACAGTGAGAGCAGATCATGGGTCACGCAGTGCAGAAGATCTGTTCCTGGCCGTCATGGGCGGGTGGAAACGGAGATGGAGGGATACGGAGGGTGAGAGAGTGAGAGAGTGAGCGATCAGGTGGGAAGCAGACTAAAGGGATTAGATCTGCTCCTGTCCTGGTGATGAATGGAGAGTGGCAGCTGATTTGTTCAGATCCTGGAACATGAACACATGTGACTGTAAACAGGAACAGGTTTCACTGTCAGAGTCTGAGGACGTTTCAGTTCCACTGAGTTAAAGGGTTGTGTTGTTGATAGGAGTGGGTTTTCAGTTTCTGAAGTTTGATGAATTCTCACTGTATTGAAAGAACATTTTACAGTAACAGTTCCCTGTTCCTCCTCGTATCATTTCTCTCTGTCAAAAACCAGAGGATGCAAGAAAAAAAAAACCCTCTCTTCCATCTGGACACAGTCTTTTCAGCAGAAAGGTCCTGGGGGAGATGAATGGATGAGTTTTAATGTATTTATGGATGTCCAGATCTGGAGGCCACTCCTGTCTTCACGCTCCAACTAACACCAGAGAAAGATGAGCACAAAAGCTGAGTGGACAGTCGTCCATGATGGACAGGTTGTCTTTCCTCTGCCAGAAAACCTCCCTTTTCAGGATCCACTGAAGAGTCCTCACTCCCCAGCATCCTCCTGATCAGAGAGAGTCCAGCTCCAGAGGTACGATAAAATCATCCAGTACGAACAATCCAGGTTTATGATGAAGAAGAGTCGAAGCAGAGATGAAGACTCTTCAGTCTCTGCTGCTGGTACAGTGATGCTGTCAGTCTGTGCTGCTCCGTCTCTCTGACCTATTTCCCTCCCACTGGAGCCTTTAATAACTTAACCTGATTAGAGCCCATGTCAGCTCCGCCCCCAGCCTCAGCAGCAGCATATGACGTATGTATGAATATGAATATATATATTTTTATATATATATATAAAACTAATTAATTGCAATAAAATTCTGCAACATACTCGGAAAATTAATTTGTATTTTTTAAGTATGTTATTTTTATCTGTACCTGATTATTCAGAATCACTTAGTTAAAGTTCAAGTCCTAGTTATATTTTAAACCTGCAAAATATTATAGTAAAATCTTATTACAGTTCACTGTTAGTGCAGAGGGACATCAGGTCCCGGCCCCTCCCCCCTCCACCCAGGACTTCCGCCATCATTAATTATCAAATTAACAGTGACGTCGATCCAGCAGTGAGTCTATCAGTCGTTATCGAGTCAACTCCTCATTAGTCTTTTCCTAATAACACACACACACACACACACAGAGCACTAACCTGATGGCCAGCAGCTCCGTCTTCTCCTCTGGGTCTTCAGCATGATCTCCTGAAAACACAGAGTCCACCTTTACTGATACAGTGTATGACAGAAATATTTAATATAATGTAAATAGAAACATATATACTATAAATATAATATAATTCACATAGACAAAGCTGTGTTTTTACTATCATTTTGTTTGAGCCATGACTTTACCAACTTCCTGTCTGTGTGTATTTCTTCTTCTACTCATGTTTTAGTCTCACTGGTACCGACTGGTACCAGTGGACCAGTGTCTCTGCAGATCTGACTTACGTCCACTGATCTTGGCGCCGACCCGCTGAGCCAGAGAGCTGCTCTGGGCCAACTGATCCCTGAAGCTCTGGCCCATGTAGTAGTCGATGTCGTTGGCCCGCAGCAGCTCCTCGAAGGCCTTGGTGGTGTCTCCCAGGTGCTGGGTGAGGATGTTACAGACGCTACGACCTTCTCTGAGACGCTGACGCAGGTGAGACAGTTCTCTGGC